CCCTCCGACACGGAGCCTCGGCCAGCCACAGCACAGGGGTTTGGAAGTACCTGTGCAGGGATGCAGAAACGATCACATGCAGGATGCCAGCCAGGTGCTGGGGCTGGTGGGAGCGCAGGGACGCGTGATCTGCATCGCACCCTCGCCCCCCGCCGGCCCTCGCCCGGTGAGACCCGCTCCCCATCGCCTTTCCCCTCCCGCAGCAGCAGGGTTTGTCCTGCTCCGTTCTCTCGCTTCCCTGTGTCTCTCCCGGCGCAGCCTTGCCTGCAGCCCGCGCCCAGCCGTCAGAGCAAAACCCTGCTGCATTTTGCAGGAGAAAATGCAGCGTTCATCCTCTCCCACCTGCCCATCTCCTCCACATGCTGCCTTGAAACCGTCCTGTCCCCCAAGCCTGGACTGATTTGCCTTCTCCAAGCCAGGGCAGAATCCATGAGCAGCCTCCCAGCTCCCACCTCCCTTCTCCTGGGGAACTGGGCTTTCCTTTGTGGAGCCAGCTGGAGTTGCTGCTGCCCAGCGTGAATGCAATTAGCTGAGAAAGCAGGAGGCTCAGAGCAAGGATTAACCTCTCAATGCCAATGGGCTGTCAGGCCTTGATAATTCACCTCGATCTGGGTTCCTGCAGGCATCAGGCTGCCCTTAGCAAGTCAGAGCACAGAGGGGTCGCATCCCCCAGCTGATGGCTCCAGGACTGGGTCTGTCTGCCCTGCTGCTCTGCGCCTCCTGTCTCCAAGCAGCCCTGGCTGTGCCAGCGTGTCTGTGGACCCAGCATATGGGGCTGAGTCCAAATTCCCACCCCAGCAAGCAACAGGGACCAGAGCAGTGGCACCTTGTGAAGGGGCATCATCTCCTCCCCAGCCTGCTGCTGGCACTGGCACACTCAGAGAGTTTCTGCAGGTCTTCCATGGGCAAAAATGATTCTGTTTGACTGCCAACACGTCCCAAAAAGGAACACTAGGTCAGGCAGCTGCAAACACATCTTCTTTTCCCCCTGCCTCTTCCCTAGCTTAGATGTAGGGGACATTTTTGCCCTCGATCCTGCTGCTTGAGGAGTTGATCTCCTCTCAGATGCATTTCCTAATCTTGGAGCCCTGTCCATCAAATCTCTAATCACCACTTGCCCTTCGTGGCCATGCCCCGGCCCTGGTGTTGGGCAGGAGTTGAGCTTGAGGAACAGGAGGTTTGCAGAGCAGACTGGTTGGCAGGCGGGTATGTGAGGAATAGATCAGGGAGCCACTGCCAACCCTCCTGCCAGGCGTCCGTCACACTGTCCACGCAGCAATTCCGCGCTGGCCATTCCCGGGAGGCCGCGCAGCCGTTTTCTAAACGGTCTCTCTTTTTCTTTCCTGTTTTTGTTCCCTTTTCTTTTGTTTTGTTTCTCAAAGAACACATTGTTACAAGAGCTGGAAAATACCCAAAAGCAGATAGAGGAACACCAGCACGACAAGGTAAATGCTGCTGCAGGGAGCCTGCCCTAATGACCGTGCTTCCTCGCTCCTAATCCCCGGCTAGTGGCACTCACACCTCCTAAAATACCCTAGTTTCGGAGGAGCTGGGATCCCAAAGCACCCAGCACCAGGAGGCCACAAACTAACCCACGCAGTGGCTGGATGGAAGCTGCCACCCACCTCCCCGGAGACCCCCGGTTCGGTTCCCTAACAGGCACGTTCAGTCCCGTCTCCGTATTTTTATCACGCTCATCCATCCCTGACCCCCCGCCGAGGACAGCAGCGAGGCCGGGTGGCTTCGCCCGCGTGTCTAGAGGAGGGTTTACCCCAGTGCTCCTTGATGCAGCCTGGCTGCTCAGGCAGCCACGTCCCCTTCGCCCCCGAGGCTTTCTCAACCCCCTCACTCAAACTGGGGGGGAAGATCTGCTCTATGCCCAGCGTGCAGAAGGCCCCGTAGGTCTTTGCACCTTCCCTGCTCTCAGATAAAGCATCTAAGTAGGGTCTGCAACACGAGTCCACGTTGACCTGTGCTGGAAAGCTGGAAGCTTGCAGCTTTTTGAAGCAACAGGAGCTTTGGGGATGTGCCCCATGCCTTGTGCATGGTTGGGGGGACTGGGGGGCTCCTTTCCCCATTGCCCAGGGCCTTACTCTCCCACATGCTCCCTGCCCAAGGCTGCTTGGCTCCAGGCAGAGGCAAAGCTCGGAGACTCGCATGACGCTGCCTGCATGTTGCCGACCCCGGTTCAGCCCGTTTACCCACAGGCCTGGATCTTGGTGTGCCTGGAGGGTCCCATCTCCCCTGCCTCCCTGCCTGCCCGCAGCCTCCCCCCTCTCATCTCCCGCAGGACAGCACGGCCACTTAGCACAGGGGCGGGCTCCCGATGAGGACAGGACTGGCAGCGGAGGGGACAGGGCCACCATCAAGTTTGGCTAGCAGGTCCCTCACTGCCAGCCCATTGCCAAGGCGAACGCGCACGTGCATTCTGGAGCAAAACCAGAGCATCTTAGCGGGACCGATTTTCCTTCATCTCTCAAACCAGCATCGCTTCGAGCACGCGTGTGTGTCTGTCTGTCCGGCCTGCCATCACCTCCTCCCTTCGCGGCATCGCCCCGGCATCGTCATTCACTGTCGCCTGCATGAGCTGTTTCTTTACCGATGTGTCAAAGGTGCTTTAAACCTGGGCTGGGGGTTTTTAAAGGGAATATAAACCTGGAAATAGCTAAAGATGTGGATTGCCCCAAGCCTGACTGCCCTTCAGAGCAAAACCAACCCCTGCCTGTCTCTTGTCTCGCCCTGAACAGCGGCGGTTGTCCGATGAGATCGACAAACTGAGGCTGGAGGTCGATCAGCTCAAGACCAGAAGCGGGACATTCGTGGAGAGTGTGCACGCGAGGTGAGGGTCCCCACCAAAACCCCGCCAGCCTGAGCGCACCCTGCTTGCGTCCCGCACCCACGGCTCTGGGGGCCTTTTGCTTCTAACGTCCCGAAACGCTGCTGGCATCAGGCGTTTCTGGTTTCACCAAGCCTCCGTGCAGGGCTGCAGGGTGGTTCATCGCACCTGTGCTGTCCCCACCATGGATTTGTCCTGGGGTGGGACACAGACTGTTGCAAATAGCCCAGCCCAACTGAATAGCCCCAGATTTGCTCTTCTAAGGGTGAAAAAAACACTGGGCATCGAGGTTTTTTTCTGCACAAAGGTCTTAGGACTTAATTTTCTGTGAAAGCTGGATGTTCATCAAATGCCTTCCCCTGTGGAGTGCTGGGGATGGGCTGGTGGAGAAGGAGGAATCTCTTTTGAGGTGTTGCAGGCAAAGAATGAACTTCCCCCACTTTTTCCTCTCCTTTCTACAATGGTCCTCCCACACCCTTTCATTTAAAGTCAGCTGGGAGATGAGGAGGTCCCAACCCAGAGCACCAGGAGGAGAGGTGAGTCTGTTGGGTCTCAGCCTCCGGCACTGACCGGGGTACCCAGCACGGCTATGGGAACCCAGGGGATTAGAGAAGGAGGGTGCCAGCACAACGTGCACCCTACTGCATCGCTGCGGCCGCCTGGGAGACCGTGTCCTCTCCTGAATGCTTTCGATGTGGGTTAGAGGCAGCAAGGGGTCAATGAGAACGAGGACCAGTGGGGAAAATTCCATTCTTGGGAAGGCTGGAAAAGATGGAAAGGAGCCGGTGTAACCAGCTTCAAATCTGTCAGCAGCTGGGGCAGAGAGGAGAAGGCCTGGAGGCCCTGGATCGGTCTTGGTGAGAAGGAACAGGGGAGTGAGGAAGAGCTTGTGAGGATGAAGGATAGTTGAGTACCAGAGGAGTGTATGGAGCAGGTGCGGGACCTCTTTGTAGGGGTCTGTAAGAACAGGATTGGCCAATTTTTATTTTTTTTTTTTATTTCTTGGAGGGAAAATCAGCAGAAAGCTTGAGTTACAGAGGCCGGAATAATCCCCCAGCTGAAATGTCAGCTTTTGTCTGAGGCACCTTTATCTGTTTTTAGCTTGGGAGCAGCTTGTCAGCGACTCCACAGCTTAAATCCCCTTGAAACTTGGGCTGTGCCTTCGTCTGCAAACACCAGGCTGACGCCAAGCCAAGCTGCTCGCGTTAGCGGTTTCGTCTGGGCTTGGTAGGATGCTGGGGTGGGGAGCCTGGACCTGTATCTGCTCTCGAAACCAGACCCATCGTGGTGGAAAAACACTAATCTGCCTCGGACAACTGCTTTCATCATCTTAAATCAAAAAAACCTCATGCCTCTTATGGCTGTGTATCTAGGGAGTAATGACCCCGTGCTGCGAGAAGGCGCTTTGCTCAGCTGCGTGGTTGGGTCTTCAGGGTGAGGAGGAGCAACCAGGCAACGTGGAGATACGCGATGAGTACCACGAGTGGCAAAAAGTGGCCTCGTGTCCAACAGCGGCCACTGCATTGCTCAGCCTGGCATGGGGACCTGCTCCCGAGCACCAGCCCGAGCACGGAGGAGGAGGATGAAGAAGCGCCAGCAGGTTTCTGCTGGGAGATCCCAGTCAATGCTCATGTCCCTGCACCTGGAACATCGATTTCAAATGAGATTTTATTCATCAGGGTTTTTTTTCATGAAAATGTTGAAGAAAACATAAAAGGAAGGAGAAAAGCTCCCTGGCTGGCCCCTGTTCCATACCATGGGGATGGAGAAGACAGGAAACGTGCTGTACATATTGAGAAGTGCAAACTGTTCTCGAGAGGGGAGGACAGGAGGGGACTGTTGAGCCCATGGCTTCACAGCAGACCCACTGCATGGGGTGGTTTTGGTCAGACCTTGCTGGATGCCCCAGTGGGTACTGCAGTGAAGGGGGAGGTGGCAGCAGGATAGGGCCCAGGGCTGAGCTTCCTACAGTCTGTGAGCACATCTCCAGGGCCAGCCGGGGGGAATGGGGCACCTTTCTCCAGAGCCTGGTTTTCCATTATTTCATGATGCTGGGGTGGGCTTCCCAGAGTAGCCTCATCCCCCACCTCTGTGCTGAGCAAGCCTGGGCTGCAATGGGAGCAGCCCAGGGTTGGGGACATCCTCGCATGGAGCAATGTCCACAACAGGGCTCTTTGTCCCCAGGTCCCATATGGGCAGCGCCACGGACCTGCGCTTCCCACTGAGCGCCGTGGTCCATGCCCCCACCGAGCCCTTCGGGACAGCCCCGGGCCTGCCTCGGGCGCAGAAGGGCCGATTCGCCGCCCGGCGAGAGGAGCCAGCCAAGGTAATCCATCTTCATGCCAACGTGGCACCAGGATTGGGGTCAGGGTCTCCTCCTGCCTTGCGCACAGGTCTCACCTGGCCCTGATTTGGGGGCGTGGGGCGATTTCCTTCGCCTGGTGCGTGGATGGGGGAAACATGGTAGGAAGAGTTTTCCATTGGGATTGTGTTGAGGTATGACTGTTGCTTGGAGGCCTCCAGTTTGGCTTTTGGAGACATGAGGGTGTTGTGTGGGACCAGTGGACCTTGTTCCCCCAGGACTGGGAGCAGACCCAGGCAGGCAGTGTCCTGGCCACGGGGCCTCACGCCTTTGACAGCGACCCCGAGATCTCTGACGTGGACGAGGATGATCGCGAGACACTCTTCAGCTCTATGGACGTGCTCTCTCCTGGTGGGCACTCGGATGCCCAGACGTTGGCCATGATGCTCCAGGAGCAGCTGGATGCCATCAACGAGGAGATCAGGTAGTGGCCATGGCCAAAATTCACCACTGCTGTGCTCTGAAATGGCTCCAGGGGGGGCAAAAATTAAGGTCTTGGTCCAGCTTCAGCAGGGAAAATTGCTCCAGGACATCAAGGTGCAGGGCTTGGCCCTTCCTGCATGTGGCTTCCTGTCTTTCAGCTGCACCAGTGCTGGCTCACAGAAAGGATCATCATTTTAAAAAAAAAAAAACCCTCTCATGAATATTAAAAGAAATCAGGGTCCTCCTCAACTCTGGTTTGTGCAGATCCTGATGGATCTTGCTGCCTGTCTTGGAGATCGAGGGCTTGAGTCACAGCACCCAAGGTGCATTTCCCCAGGGTAGGGAGATCCTACAGCTGAGAGGTGTGAGATGACTCCCCAGGAGCCCTGAGCCCTGCTACTCCCCCAGGATGATCCAAGAGGAGAAGGAGTCCACCGAGCTCCGCGCGGAAGAGCTGGAGACCCGCGTCACGAGTGGCAGCATGGAGGGCCTCAACCTCACCCAGCTCTGCAAAAGGGCTTCCATCCCCACCTCGCTGACGGCCCTGTCCCTGGCCAGCTCATCCCCCCCGCTCAGCGGCCGCTCCACCCCGAAGCTCTCCTCCCGCAGCGCCGCGCAGGACCTGGACCGCATGGGGATCATGACGTTGGTGAGGAGACGCGCGGGGCAGGCGGGGGGGGCTGGACAGGGGGTGCGTGTGGCTGCCTGGGGTGGGAGCCACGTCCTGGAGTCCGCATGGGTGTGCGGGAGGGTGATGTGGAACGGGGGTGCCCGTGTTTGCTGTCTCCCAGCCTGGCACGCCTGGCGCCGGGGCTGCTCTGTGGGGGGGTTCTCCATTAACTGCCCCCCTTTCTGTGTCTCTCTCGCTTTCCCCCTCGCAATCAGCCCAGCGACTTGAGGAAGCACCGGCGGAAACTGCTAGTGAGTGGCTCCCATCCCGTTGGGTTTTGTCCAAGCCCCTTTTCCAGCCTGCTCCTGGCTTTGTCCACACCAGGTCAGGGTGCAGCAGGCGCGGGATGGAGCTGGGGACCCCAGGGATTCTGCAGGAGGATCATGGGGATCCTGTAAGGTGCTTGGAGATGTGCCGGCTGGCAGCCTGGGGGGTTTGGCAGGACATGGGGAGGGTCAGAAAGCCTCTGGGTCCTCAAACATTGTGCGTCCCCTCTGGCGACAGGGTGTCTTTGGGACATTCTCATCTGTGCTCCTCAAAGCCCTCTGGTGAAGGCCAGCAGCTTCTGTCCCCATACCTTGACCTGGACCATGGGGCTACATCCTCTCTCCTCCCTGTTCCCAGGATCTTGGCCATACGGCCACATCCTCCCCATCTGCTTGGGCATCTCGAGCCATTGCCAGAGCTCTAGTTCAGGCCAATCCTGGAGCGTGGCAAAGCCTCAGGGCCCTGGTGGCTCTTTTGACCATGCCTCCATGGAGCAAGAGAGAGGCAGGCAGCAGGGCAAAGATGGAGCTGGGCTTTGGCCACCCAGCCTCATGGCTTCTCTGCTTGTTCAGTCGCCCGCAGCTCGGGATGAAAGCCGAGAAGATAAAACCACCATCAAATGCGAGACGTCCCCCCCATCCTCACCCAGGACGTTGCGGCTGGAGAAGCTGGGCCACCCCGCGTTAAGTCAGGAGGATGGGAAGAGGTACGTGGAGCACCCTTTGGATGTCACACCAGTGCCCGCTCCTTTGGTTTGAGGATTCACACAGGGCGAGCGTGGGATTATGGGATGGGCTGGGGTTTGCCATGGCTTGTGCGCTGCTCGGGAATAACCTAAAGGCTTTGCTGTTCCTCTCCCTCCTCCGTCCCCAGCTCGCTGGAGGAGCAGGCCAGCAACCCCAGCAGCAACAGCAGCCAGGACTCCCTGCACAAGGGCTCCAAGAGGAAGGGGATCAAATCCTCCATCGGGCGCTTGTTCGGGAAAAAAGAGAAGGGTCGCTTGATTCAGCTGAGCAGAGAAGGGGCCACGGGGCAGGGTCCGTGAGCAGCCCTACTCCTGTGCGTGCCGGGCGGGCGTCCTCTCGGGCCAGGCTCTCTGCACGCCGCCGGGCACTGTCTGGCTTTGGGGGGATGTTGGGGTGACAGGCAGAGGAGCAGGGACACCCCTGCTGGTTTGGGAATGCTGGGACCGCTGGCTCTGGGCTCACTGCAGCTTCAGGGGAGTTGGGTCCTGGTGCTTTCTGCCCCACGGCCCCTTCTGGCCTGAGCGTGGTGTCACTCCTAATGCTCTGCAAGAGCTGCCATGAGGATAGTGACCCCCCATCACTGTATCTTATCTTAATGTCCCCAAATCTGCTTCCCTCCCTGTGGGACCTTCTTGATTTTGCACAGCCCGTTGGTGGGAGCTGCTTTTTCCCTCCTAAATCCTTTACTGCTTCGATGTTGAGCGTCTGGAAATGGGAGGGATGGCAGATGGGGATCCCCTTGGGCTTCCCAGGGATGCAATGGGGCTGCGGCGGTGGGTTGGAAAGGAGACTGTCACCTCCTGTGCTTGCGATTGTGCATCGCCAACGCCCTGGCATGGGGACTGTGGCAGTGCCCACGCTGAACCCATGGGATGCCCCACTGACCTGAGGATGTCTTGCTTGCTCAGTAGTGCTGCTGACTGACGTGGAGGTGGGCATGCAGGACACCCTGGGACTTGGCAAGCTGGGTGCTCAGGCTGAGAAGGATCGGCGTCTGCGGAAGAAGTGAGTGAACCTCCTTCCCTGTCCCAACAAGAAAACGTCCTGCCTGATGACTAAGAAGCATTGGCATAGGACTGGGAATTGCTGGAAAGCCTTCTCATCATCACCCTCTCTTGAGCCCTGTTACCTCCTTTATTGCTTGGCTGCCAAGCTGGTTATTACTGCCCGTGGTCTGTTCCCTTTCAAGATCTGCTTCCTTCCCCTCAAGCCCCCAATAAATCGCTCTTCTGCTTCTGTTCCCTCCAGGCATGAACTCCTGGAAGAGGCTCGGAGGAAAGGATTGCCCTTTGCTCACTGGGATGGCCCCACCGTTGTCTCCTGGCTGGAGGTGAGGCAGAGTGTGCCCGTACATCGTCCCCATGCACCAACGGCCTTGCAGTCACCACCGGTCTGTAGTGTGCTCCCCCGGCAGCGGTGCAGCATCCCGCAATCCCACCATGCTTGGTCCGTGCACAGAGTTGGTGGTTGCAAAATCTGGAGGAGCAGAGCAGATCCCCAGATCCCTCACATATTCTGTAGAGTTGTTGTTTGAGTAGAGCTTTGAGTGGAAAGGCTCAGTGGGTGGTCTTTCGCTGTGCTGTGTGCATCAGATCCAGGGATGCTGGGCAGCCCGCAGGCCATCTGTGCAAGGTACAAATGCAAAAGTAGCCCCACATGGGTATCTGACTTCGATATTGAGCTTCAAAGTGGCCTTGATCCTACCAGAGGAAGTTAGGGTAGGTCAACCAGGCAGTCACTGGCTTTGCTCCATTTTGGCAGCTCTGGGTGGGGATGCCGGCCTGGTTCGCTTGCCGAGCCAATGTGAAGAGCGGAGCCATCATGTCAGCCCTGTCTGACACCGAGATCCAGAGAGAGATCGGCATCAGCAATGCGCTGCATCGCCTGAAGCTGCGTCTGGCCATCCAGGAGATGGTCTCACTCACAAGCCCCTCGGCACCACCCACCTCCCGGACGGTAAGCGCTCCATGCCCTGATTTTTTAGACAGATCCTCCATGTCGAGGAGGGGGGGACGACACACTTGTTCCCCTCCTTTCCCCATCTCCTTGGGACCACAGTGGTCCATCAGTCCCCAGGGAGTCCCAGTGTCACAGGCAAGTGTGGCTGTGGAGGGGGTGACGTTCCCTCATGGATTGATCAAACCACCGGACACTTGTCCTTTATAACACCACAAGTTATAAAGGCAGCCAAAGGGCCAGTGGTCCTCGCTGCGCTCGCCATGGCTGCATGGACAACCCGGGATCCTCACGGGCAGCGTGGTGCCACCAGCCCAAGCTGCAAGCACACTGCGAGATCCCATGGCCTGATCCTCCATCAGCCCAAGCCAAGTTTGTTTCCAGCACAGTTGTGAACCAAGGCCACGGCTCTGTGGTGGTGTGCCCTGACCACTGTCCTTTTTTGCCTGCAGTCTTCCGGAAACGTCTGGGTCACTCACGAGGAGATGGAGAACATGGCAACTTCCACCAAGACGGTGAGGCTGGCCGGCCCCACCGCCGCCACACGGCGTATCGGTTACCGCGCTGAGCTCCGGGCGTGCATTAACGCGCTAAACCCCGGGAGGGAAGGGGATCTTTGCTGCATCTCATGTGTCAGCTCTTGGCTGGCACCATGCACCTGTTTAGAAACCATCTTTCAACCTTTAATATCCCAGCAATTTCCAAAACTGGCTTAAAAACCATCAGATGCATTTTCTTTTGTCAGGCGCCTGTGGGTTTTGCTGGGTTTCTAGAGTAGCTCGTCTGTCAGTTGTGAGTTAGAGGAAAGAAACCGAAGACAAAAACAAGAGTGATCTCAAGATAGATCCATGAGGTTGAGTCCCACATTGGTCATTCTGCACACAGAGGAGTCACTGTCTAATCTCCCGTTGACTTTAGCTCACCCAAATCTGTCCCCACTGTCTGTCCCTACCACTGGCTGACAGCTTGGGGTCCCTCGGAGGGATGTGTCTGTGTTCCCAAAAGCTCTGACCCTTTTGGAGAGCTGTAGCCATGCTCCCCTCTCTGCAACTTACTGACCCCATGTCCGTGTCTCAGAGCAGGGGCAGAATTTTGGATTTGTTATGTGAATTTGGCATTTTATTGAAGCTTTTGTCTGCTGGTCCTTAACTGGAAGGTGTCTTTTGGGGAAGGAGAGCTCAGAGTTTCAGCAGGGACGGGACACTTTCCTTTGGCAGGTTTTGTGAGGTTGAGCAAAACCAGCACAGGTTGACAAGGCAGGAAATAGCTACAAAATCGACAAATTGAGTTGTGACCTGTGAGCTGAAGCTTGGGTTTCTCTCTACATCCATCTGTCTTTGGGGGACCCAAGAAGTACCCGTATTTCCCAGGAAGGATACGTGACCCCCAGTGTCTGTGCCATCTCCAGCCCAAGGCCCACGAGAAAACCCTCGTCCTGTGTCCTCCTCACTTGTCTGAGAGACGGGGTGAAACCTGAGCCCAGTGGGTTGGGGTGTCCCCAGCACCCTGTCACCAAGGCTGAGCTCCCTGAGCCGTGAAAACGAGCCCCATCCCCTCTGGGTCGCGCCGTGCTGAAGGGTCCCACACTCAACGCACGTGGCACAGGCTTTCACGGTGCGGGGCCGCTGGGTACTGACTTTACCTGTCCTTTCTGTTGACATGCTGCATGTGTCACGCTTAGGACACAGAGGAAGGCAGCTGGGCACAGGTGAGGTCCCCGTGTCACCGTTTTTCGCGGGCGGTACATGGGGTGGTTGTGGGAGGGAGAGCTGGACATCACAGGGCACCCAGGGGATGAGCTTGGGCCATCAGCATTCACTAAGTCCTGCCTGGAGTCTGAGCCTGCACCCTGTGGTTGCTCCTCTGAACTATCTCTGGAGCATGAGGTGGTCCTCCAGAGACCTTGCATCAAGCAGCATCCTTCTCTGCTTCAGGCAGAGTGACTTTTTCTGTGTGGGACACAAATCCTGTGTTAAAACCCCAACGTAAGAGTGACCAGCCACCCTGCATGGGAGGCAGATTTCTCACTGCATAGGCATTTAGTTTTCACTTTTTTTTTTGGCCCCAAGTTCAGGATATAGACCATTTTCTTGAACTGAAAAGGTGGGAGGAAAAAGTCCTACTTGGATCCATCTCCTCTGGTTTGCATCACTCTTAAATGTTTTACTTTTCTTCTGGTGGATTTTATTTCAGTTTTGGACCTGGAATCAGCTTGCAGTGAAAGTGAATGGATGTTTTTCTGCCCAAAACTGACATTTTTTTTCATTTTGAAGTCATAAAGTAGATCTTTTGGTGATTTCTAAGCTGCTTAAAAATCAGTTGTGAATCCACTGAAACTTATTTCGTTATTTCAGCTTTCGTAACTGTGTTTTTTTCCAGAAGAACCAGGTCATAAAGTCCAGCCATCTCTTGTGCTTGTTTTTTGGCTACTGCCTTGTCTCCTTGGGGGACATCAGTAGGACACAAACCATGGCCAACGGGACTGTTCCCTCCAGCTTATTCAGTACAAACTAGGGTTAAACTTCTCTGGCCCAGGTTTGGTCCTCAGGACAGTGACCTCTAGGCTGCAGCACTGAGTCGTCACTGGTCTCCTGGGAGTCGGCAGCTCCACCAAGCCCTGGTTTCTTCCTAGCTTCTCCATTTGCTTCTCCACAGACACTGGCGTATGGGGACATGAACCACGAGTGGATTGGGAACGAGTGGCTGCCCAGCTTGGGTCTCCCGCAGTATCGCAGCTACTTCATGGAGTGTCTTGTTGATGCACGGATGCTGGACCACCTCACCAAGAAAGATCTCAGAGTGCACTTGAAGATGGTGGACAGCTTCCACCGGTGAGTCCTCTCCTTTGGGAGATCCCTGGGGTGCAACATCTGCACATGGAGCAGAAGGTGGAGCAGTTTGAGGGATTTTCTCCTGTCTTGACCGGTCCTGGTGCTGGAGGATGGCTCTTCCAGGCTAAACTCAACCACCTGGTCTGGGGCAAATCATATGGGTAAATGTTCTCCTTCAGCACACTCCTTGCAGCAAAATTGCAGAGGGCCAAGCCCTCTCCTGGCTGTGGAGCAAACCATGGGCAAAAGTAAAGGCTCGTCCCACCTGGTACCCCACTGGCAGGCAGAGCAGTCATCTGCCAGCAGCCCAGCTTGGAGAATGTTTATGCCATCCCAGCCACCTTGTTCAAGCACCAGTATCCAGCGCTGTCGTGGGGTGCCACCATCCACCTCGACCTGTGAGGTGGTCTGTGGGCCTGCCAGGGCCCTCCCTGCTCTGGGGATGACATACCCTTCAGCCTGGAGCAGCCCCCATGGGCTGGTTCTCCCTTCCCTCTCCAGCCACCAAGCACCAAGTATCATTATTTGGATCCATGTGCTCTCAGGCAGGTAGAACAGGGTAAAAACGATGGAGTGGGGAATTACCATGGAAGGGATGGAGGGTCATTCCCCGTTTTCTGGCCAAGATCTCCCCTTTGGGTTGTGTCTGTCCTGTCCTAACCCTGAACCAGAGCATGTTTTGGGCACATGGAGAGCAAGGAGGGAAGTGAGTCCCTCCAAGCCACCTGCCCCATGATGCTGAGCCCTCCTGAGGGCTGGGTGACATCTCATGTCCTTGCAGCACCAGCCTGCAGTATGGCATCATGTGCCTGAAGAGGCTCAACTACGACCGCAAAGAGCTCGAGAGGAGGCGAGAAGAGACCCAACATGAAATCAAAGGTCAGCAGCCACAGAACACGCTCCAGCTCTGGAAAAGGAGATGAGAAACCTCTCAAGAAACACCCAGTGATGGTCTCTCTCCTGTCCCTTATTTTTAACACAGCATTCGCCCAGGGAGAAATCGTTATTTCTGAGCAACCGTGCCCACAGGGCTCTTCTCCAGAGGGGACCTCCCTGCAGTATTTCCCCAACAGATTCCCCTTTATGCAGCTTACCCCAGTCGGGCATGAGGAGGGAGGAAGGGTGTCAGGAAAGATCCGGTCTGAGCATCAGATCATCTTCTCCTGCCCATTTCAGATGCTCAGGACATCCCCCAGCTTGCTCAGCCTCCCCTTCCTCATTGGCTGTCCTGAGATTCCCTGTGCATCTGGCTGCTGCTTAGATTACATCTCATTATGGGTAATGCCCCTAATTACACCAGCAGCCGTGGGTTCTTAGGATTAATTTTCACAGTTGTTTTCCGCCTGTTATTTCAACATTCCGTTTGGTAAACTGAAGTGAGCTGTTCCTGGCATGTGAGCACCCGGTGTTGAAGCCTGGGGCTGTGCCAAAGAGCTTCAGAACATCATCAGGTCCCCACACGACCGAGAGCGTGGTCTGAGCTGGCTCTAAGACCTGCCCTTGCTCTTCTGCAGACGTGTTGGTGTGGACCAACGACCAGGTCATTCACTGGATCCAGTCCATCGGGCTTCGCGAGTACGCAAACAACCTCGTCGAGAGCGGGGTGCACGGGGCGCTCCTGGCCCTCGATGAAAACTTCGACCACAACAGTCTGGCGCTCGTGTTGCAAATCCCCACGCAGAACACGCAGGTACGAGCATCGTGCGGGGGGGATTTTGGAGGAGAGTGGCCAGCACGGGGACACGGCTGCAGTGAGACTCCACCAGTCCCACCGACTCAACTCTGCCTTTCGAAGCAGAGCACCCAGATGGGCTTTTTCTCTGTCAGTCTCAGGGTTTCCTGGGATGGGGGTTTGTACTGGGAACTGTTCCCACCGATGGAGAATGCTCATCTGATGTTGTTTTCAGGCTCGACAGGTGCTAGAGAGGGAGTTCAACAACCTGCTCGCCTTGGGCACGGATCGGAGGCTGGACGATGTGAGTACAAAATCTCTCCCATGTCCAGATCATGCTGAGCACCTGTTCTTGTGCAAGAAGCAGGAGAGACAGGACCTCTGCTTTCTCCCTCCATGTCCAGGGGTGTCAAATAGTGCATCACAAACTCTCTCTAGAGCAGTTGCATGAGCAGCATCAAGGGAATAAGCTAAAACTAGTAGAGAAGGCCATGAGGAATGTGCTGCCAGGCTGCGGAGGCAGGTGAGGAAGGGTCTTGTGCATCATTTCTAGCCTCATGCTTGGTGGGCTGAATTTCAAGTAGACTCACCTGGCATTCCTTGCCAGCTGTTTTAATGCTGCCTTTTAGAGTCACAGATGTCCTGGGCATGACACATCTGCAGCGGGTAAAGCTGGTGGGTTGGAGATGCCCCTTTGGGCAGCCAGAAAGCTCTTCATGTTGAGTCACTGAAGGTGGGAATTCATCTAAATCTCTCCTACGTATAGCCTTCCTCCGTGAGATATGATAGCAGAGCTATTCAGGGCTCTTTTTGGAGCACAGAGAGAAGGAGGCACTTCCAGGTGCCATTATCTGGCTGAGGTTAGATGCATCCCTTGAGGTCTTTGTTGGAGCTTGTGTGTTGATGTCTCCAAGGCGTCTTTGCAGGGAGGCTGGAGAGAAGAGACAGGCAAGCTGGAAAGGACAAAGCCTATGTCATTGGATCCCAGAGAGGTCTCCTATGTCCTTGGACCAATTTGATCACATGCTTCTGCACTGTTTGAGTTGATCTCCATGTACAGGCACACTCTTAGTTAGGTGGAAGCAGTGCTGGTATCTCACAGGGGTGGAAGGTCCTGCTGCCAGGCCCATAACCTGCTCTTCCCTTACAGGGTGATGACAAGACCTTCCGTCGAACCCCATCCTGGCGAAAACGCTTCCGCCCACGAGACGTTCACAGCATCAACATGTACGCTGCCCGCCGGCTTCCGCGTCACCAGCCTGGTGCCCCTGCCCCCTCCGTCTGCCCCTGCCAAGAAAATGCCCCCGGAAGGTAGGTCACCCCCTTCTCCCCACAGTCCTCTCCCACCCTTGCTCAGACCTCATGGGGAATGATGTGCCACCAGGAGAGGGAGAGAGGCTTCTGATCGCCCGTCATGCTAAATCCATGTGATCCTTGAGCCGTTGTCTGCTGTAAATGTTTCTTCAGCAGGTTTATTTCAGACTCTGCTCTGATGTGCGGTTTCTTTGTTTCAAACTGCCATGATGAGGGAGAGGGCTGGATGAGAGCATGAAAAGGGGACGTGTCACCCGCCCTGGCTTTGGCATCCAGGTCAGACAGAGCCTCTTGGGGTAGTGTTGGGGGCTGTCAGCCAATCTGGGCCAGTCTCATCCATCCTGCAAAGGAGACCGTCCCCAGTGGGACTGAATTAACCAGCTCGATGCAGTCCGAGCGCTGCTGAGCCGCTCTCCCAGGGCTGGCAGGGACCTGCTTTGACACACTTGCTGCCCGTGCTGCTGGCCGTCATGTCATTTAGCTGAGCGCACGTCCCACACTCTGCCCTACCACCACACGACTCCTTTCTGAAAGTTATCTTGGTCCCTTCCGAAGCTGTAGGGAGGCACGAGCTCCAGCCAGGTCACCCCAGATATCCTGGTCCCACTGTCCCAAACCTCCTGCCACATCCCCAGTGGCGCAGGGCTGGCTTCAGCAGGCTCAGAAGTGAGTGTATAAATGAGAATTAAAAATTTGTGCTGTCACTTTCCGGCTCCAAGCCCCAGGCTCAGCTCTCCTCCTGTCTCCAGATTTGCTCAAATTTCACAGCTTTCCATCCAGCAGTTTGGATCAAACTTCTGCTCCACTTTTTTCACGCCCTACCTGGAAGCTGCATTTCCCACCCAGCTGAGGACAATGAAACCTGAGACAAAATCCCTAGGTCTGACAGCATCCAGACATGGGTAGCAGGGTGCTCGCTGCCCAAAAGTAGGGATGGATCAGATGATCCGAGGGCTGGAGCACCTCTGCTATGGAGACAAGCTGGGAGAGATGGGGTTGTTCAGCCTGGAGAAGAGAAGGCTCTAGGGAGACCTTCCAGCACCTCCCAGTACCTAAAGGGGCTACAGGAAAGCTGGAGAGGGGCTTTGGACATGGGTGTGGAGTGACAGGACACGGGGCAATGGCTTTGAACTGAAAGACGGCAGATTTACATCAGATCTAAGGAATAAATTCTTCTCTGAGGGTGGTGAGGCACTGGAGCAGGTTGCCCAGAGAAGTTGTGGCTGCCCCATCCCTGGAAGTGTTCAAGGCCAGGTTGGATTAGGCTTTGAGCATCTTTATGTAGTGAAAGGTGTCCCTGCCCATGGCAGGCGGATTGGAACTAAATGATCTTTGAGGTCCCTTCCAACCCAAACCATTCAATGATTTTATGATGGTAAGTGGCAACTTTCCAAATACTCTGGAGCCTTGGAAGCATCAGAGCTGGGCAAACATGCCTTTTCCTTTGACCCTCATCTTCATGTGGCTTCAGTGCGTAGATGCTGCTTAATAAATAGAATTTTTATGAAAAAACATTGGAGCAGTCACTAATTGCACGTTCTGCTCTTTGACTCACTTCCAGTTGGTGCCTCTGGGTCGCCAAGGCTGGAGACCTCCACGGTCCGGACGTACTCCTGCTGAGGGTCAGCGTGACGGGAACCAGCCCAGCCCTGGGTAAGTGCGAGGAGGACCGAGGCCTCAGAGCTGGATGGGGACCGAGAGGAGAGCGCGAGGCCCAGCGTCCTCTGCCTGACATCCCCCAGGCAGTGTGTCTGCCTTCACCTTGCCATGGAGGACCATGGAGACCTCCATGGTGGGGGAACAGCCTGCTGCTGCTTGAGGCTCACAGGACCCTGAGATGATGCAGAAGGGATGCTCGGCATCCCAACCACGTACAGTTTGTCCAGTCTCTGGACAGACAGCTTCACTGGGGACCCCAGGATTGGGGTAGGGGGTCTCACTGGGATGAGGGAAGGATAGTCAAGCACTTCAGAGGGTCTCCTGGGACCCCTGGGACATTGTTCCCCTGTGCCAGGAGGATTCATTACCGACTCCACCTGGGTTTGTCGGTCTGTGGATGCATGAGCAGAGGTGAGCCGCCATCCTCACAGGGCATTCCCCACTTCATTTCTCAGCACATCCCCACAAAGGCCACGTGCTGGCTGCCTTTCAGGACAAGAGCCCAGCCTGCGCCTCTTCCTCGGCCCAAACCAACAGACGCTGCAGTCTCGCTGCTGTGGACCGAAAAGGATGCCCTCCCTTCTGCTTGTGCACCCCACCGCTTCCCCTGGCTCCCCGTGGCTCCCGCCTGTGGCTTGTCCGCTCACCCCTTCCCATGCTGGCCGGGCTACGGATGTGCCCGTTGGGTGCCCACTCCGTCACTGGCAGAAGCGTGGTGCGATCCGACGGAAGCGACAGAGACACCCCAAAAGTGGGCTGCAGTATTTGGAACCCTTTCTCCTGCCTGGTTCTTGTTGCCAATACACCGTGGGCTGCTGCACTGACTCACCCACGCCCCGGGCATCAGGGACGCTGCTGCCTGCAGGACTCGAAGCCAAGGAAGATTCAGGCTTGTGAAAATCCTCACGCCAGGGCGGCCGGGCAAGGAGCTGCCCCTGGGGAAACCGGGGCCAATGCCAGGGTCAGCACTGCACAGAACGGAGCAGGGACTGGCCATCGTGGGGGCAGGGGGAGGGGG